CAACTTTTATTATTTTTTCAATTGTTTTTTCAAGATTCATTTCATTTCTTTATAACACAGAACAACATCATATATGAGGAATAGACTGAGTAATCAAATTTTTAAAAAAATCATAAACTGCTTTATAAGAAAAAATCTTGAAACATGGTATTCTTTATATCTTTTAAATATTAAAACAAATCAAATTTGAACACAAAAATCATTTGGAGATAGACATGCACATTTATATATATGTATATCATACTATAAATAATACATTGTTGTTTTATTTACTATTAATACAGTATGATTCTCGTGTCACTAATATTCTGTTGTGGGCAGACTTTCAGATGGTCTCCAATGATCTCTGCCTCCTGGTGCTCACATCCCTGAGAAATGCCCTCCTCTTAGTGTGGACTGGTCTGTGACTTGCTTTTAAATAATAGAATATGACAAAAGCACCACTGCTGTGGTAACCTGCAAGAGCTTTGTAACTTTCTTCTAGTTGATTGTATTTACTCTTTCCCTTGGCAGCTTTGGTGAAGCAAATTACTATATGCGTAAGGCCCATGCAGCAAGGAACTAAGAGTGACCATTGGCCCACAGCTAGTTAGGAAATGACACTTGCAGTCAATAGTCCAAAAGCAAGTGAATCCTGGCAGCAACTACATAAGTGACTTGGAATTGAATCCTTCTCTTATTTATCCTTCAACTGAGACCCAAGGCCTAGTAGGCACCTTTATTACAGCTTCTTGAGAGACTCTGAAGTCAAGAATTAAGCTCAGCTGTGCCCAGATTCCTAACCCACAATAACTATGACAAGATAAGTTGATGCCATGTTAAGTCCCTAAACTTGTCATGATTTGTTAAACAGACAAGATAGCAAATACATGTTCCTATTTATTTCTCTTACTAATTTTGGAAAGAAATATATAAGTTTAATTCATTGTTTTCTATGTCCCTACTGACTTTTTAAAAAATAAATTTTATAGTGTTCATTTAAGGTACACAACATGGTGTAATGATATATATATATATATATATATATATACACATATATATATATGTATATAGTTACTGTAGTGTTACAAATTAACATATCCACAATCTCACATAGATATTCATTTTGCCCCCACTGTGGCAAGAGGAGCTGTAATCTACTCATTTAGCAAAAATCCTTAATACGATACCCTATTATTGACTATAGATCTCATGTTGTTCATTAGATCTTTAGATTTGTTCATCCTGCATCTCTGCTACTTTGTATCTTTTTTACCTAAAGATTTTTTTTGCTTTCCCCCCCATAATCACTGTTTTATTCTCTCTGTATGGCTAACTGCTTTTACTTTTAGATTCCACATATAAGTGAGATTATGCCACGTATTTCTTCTGTATCTGGCTTATGTCACTTACTATAAAGTCCTCTGGGTCCATCCATGTTGTGATAAATGGCAGAATCCCTTCCTTCTTAAAGGCTGAATGCTATCCCATTGTTTATGTACTATAGGTTCTTTACCCATTTGTTCATGGGTGGACACTTAGTTCATTTCCATATCTTGGCTATTGTGAATAATGCTTTAATGAACATAGAATTGCAGATATATTTATGAGGTGGTGATTTCCTCTCTTTTGGGTATATACCCAGAAGTGGTATTGCTGGGTCATATCGCAATTCTATTTTTAATTTTTTTAGGAACCTCCATACTTTTTCTCATAATGGCTGCACCAATTTATATCCCCAATAACACAGGCCAACTTTTTGGCATTCAGTCATTTTTAAATGAATCATAACTTGTTTTCAATTTGTAGAACAGGGAAATAATCACTACAATTATATTGTCATCATGAAGAAATCATGTGTACAATTTACTATTTACTAAATCTTTATTAAAGTAAGAAATATTTGATGGACAGATTTCATTCCAATATTATAAAAATTTTATAAACATGATTACCAGGAGAATGTAATTTATAAGTATTAAAGGAAAGGAAAAAACATTTTTCCCTTATATCTTAGCAGACCCAGACCTAAGGATTAATGTATAAAAGAGAGGGGAAAATAAAGTAATATTTTGAATTTTCAGCCTGTCATAGTAGTTTTGCACAGCTGATGAATAGCTTTTAAGATATTGAATCTTGCTAGGAATTTCAGTTAGCATGCATGTATAGGGATTTGTGGAGAGCCTTATTACCTCAGTAACATTAAGAAATATGGATGCTCTCTTATCAAAGTCCAGCAGTTTTGCAGAAATTGAATACACTATTAATTAAAAATGCTGAATCATTGATTTCTTTCGCATTTTTTGCTAATACATTATATTCAGCCATGGTTCCCCTATCTTAATTTAGTCTGCATATGATAAATTTAATGCTCCATTTGAAAGTATATGAAATTTTAATAGACAGTATTTCACAATTGGCTGATTCATTAAGTCGTTTAAAAATGCATGTATACCAGAACACTAATACCAGACAATATGTGAAAATGCTCAGCCTGTAGCATTGAGAAAATTTTCTTTTTAAGGTAGGAAAATCTGGCTCAGGGAAAAGAAAATAAATTCCTTTTTGTAAAAAGTGTTTACATTACATAACAGAAACAGTCTTTCAGAAAGAGGGGGAAAAATGCAAAGGTAAAAAATGTACATGCCTATTACAAGATGTTTCAATGGAAATGGACAAGGGAAATTGTCGGCAGCCATCTGAATTACTCTTAATGGTATTCAGTCAAGCGAGGTATGGGTCAGGTCAAAAAGTTTGCATGTGTTATTTAATGTCAAATAGGGAACTCTATAGTCACCATGTCTGTTAGTTATTCATTTAATATCTATTCACAGCACACTTGCACTGCTTCTGGTTGTTATGTGCTTACATTATCAAGTTGAAATCTTCAAAAAGAAAAGATAAACTAAAACATTTTTACATTATTGATTTAGATAATTTATATGCTGAAACTTTTTTAGATTATAATATTTTCTTCAAATATAATAAAAGCGAGGTTAGGCCAATGTTTGTTTAGTATATATTTTCAGGGAAGTTGTGTACAATCAGGCACAAGGAGTAAAATTTTACATGAGAAGGCTTTGAATACTTTTTATGATCTTTAATGTCTAGTATTACAAACTGTCTTAAATGTAAAATCTGTAGCAGAAGTAGGTGTTTTGCGAACTTAATTACATATACCAAATATTAATTTAAAATTTATTTTGGATGCTTGATGTAAATTAACTAATTTAATTTTCTATTAATTCATTTGCTACTTTGACATTTTACTAAACATTTGCTTTTAAATCTATTATTATGAAGAGAACAATGGAGAATGAGATGAACTTACAGAAATGATTCATATTCATTGCACTTGTTAAATACATTTTTAGATGGAAAGATTCTTTATATTCTCACAAGACTTCTATGACTTTCAATAACATCCCTTTCCTTGCTCATTTGTGGTGTTTTAATATATTTTTTATGTCCCTTTTGTCTTCCTGAATTCCTGCTGAGAAATGGAAATGTTTGCTGAATAAAAGAGGCTATTCAGAACAGGTTAATACATGATTTTTAAAAAGCCTTCCTCAAATGTGCTATGTAAGTTAATGAAAATCAATATTCTCTCATAAGAGAGCAAAAGCTTTTAGATGGTTAGGAATACTTCAGTTTCAAATAAAATCTCTGATTATTTTAGGCTCTTATAATTACTGTCATAGTGGTATTTTTTATTCACATTATTCATTTCCTGCCTGTGGACACAGCTGACAGTATTGCTCCTGGGAGCAACATCCTGTCTTCCTTGTAGAAAACCATTCACAACCATTTAGCAACTGTCCAGAGTTTTTGCAGAATTCAAAGACAATTTCTTTTCCTATATCAGTTTGATGAGAATAGAAGAAAGAATAGCTAAAAAATGTTTAGGAAAAGCACACCCATTTTGTTCCTGTGAAATGCAAAATCATTTCCTATGAAGAGTCAAGGAAACCAAAACAAGTTCCTTAAAAAATTCTGCTTTCAAAAACTGCATTTTCTCTTGGCTTCTTACCTCTTATACCTTCCCCAGATTCATATATAGTAAGGAGATTATTGTCCTAGTCATAATTACTTAATTATAAAAGTAGTCCTATGATCCTTCACAAAACGGATGATGCTTGTATTTTAGTTGGCCCATCTCATATAGAGAGGAAGAAACTAGTTCATAGTCACATCATAAAACACACACAGGCACACATGCATCTACCTATCCAAAGGACTGAGAAATCTGAGCAAATTAACCATGTCTTATTCAATTTTCCAATTTTTTGTACATTCAGTAATGACATATTTATAATTATTTATAAGTAAATAATGATTTTAGGTATGAAATTACATCATAACAGGCTCACAATATAAAATTTATTTTAGATATTATGCCTAAGGTCTAGGTGTCTCTGAATCAAATTGAATAAGGCTCTTAAAATTACTGCTGGATACATTTTACACAATTTTGTCTTTGTTCTTCTGAGACTATTAGAGACCTTGCAGTTGATAGATGATAGGTAGGTAAGTAGGCAAGTAGGTAGAGACAGAAAGAAAGAGAGAGAGAAAGAGAGAGAGAGAGATTGATTACATAGGCCAGAAAAATGAAAAACAAGAATAGATTTTGGGGATATTTACAAATTTTAGTCCCTAATAGATACCATAGTAGATGCCTAGCCATTTTTAGTGCTCAATAAATATTTGATAAATGAGTTTATTATTTGCAATGGAAGGCAGAAATTCATTGTTTCAATGGTAGTGTGTTCATAATTTTGTTTGCTACTTGAATGATCAGGAATGATATATTCAGAAATATCAAAGTTTGTCAATGAACACCTATATTTATTCATTATTTTATGCTACATAAATGTATTAAGTACTATCTAATTGCCAGGCTAGTTATTAAACAAAAAAATTTAAACTTCCCATATATAAAGGCATAAAAAAGTATTTTTAAAGATCTTTTAAAATCTCAAATTTTAATGTTATCATTTATCTTTATAAAATATTTATTTCAGCTATTGGTACAAGATCAAGACTCAGTGAGAGAACATTGGGAATTCTAAACATGTGAGCAACAAGAGGAGTTACAACATCTTGGGTATTACTTTTTGTTCTAATATTTTTCAATTTTGATATTGATCTCTCAAGCAGATGATAAACTTTTCTTAACTTATTATGAAATGAATATTTCAGTGTTTGTTTCTAAAACAATATTTAATAATTTGCATTTATTATGGGACCTTTATCTCTTTTAATTCATTTAATATATAATTTGGAACATTCTAAGGAAAGACAATATGCTAGACACTAAATTACCTGCTCATGAATGCTAATTTTAATACCATTTTCTATACCAGGGTTCAACAAACTGCAGCCTACCTGACTTCCAGTTTTTGTAAGTAAATTTTTTTGGACCATAGTTATGTGCATTTATTTAAATATTGTGTATGACTGATTTCTTGCTAAAACAGCAGAGATGAGAAGTTGCAGCAGAGACTATATTGACCACAAAACTGAAAATATCTATTACTTGGTCCTTTATGTAAAAATATTTGCTACCCTTTTTGTATACCATCAATTTGAACAATGTCAAGGTCAAATGAACATTAAGTATTTAATTAAAGTTAATAATCATATTAACTTTATATATATAGTATAATAAGGGGTAAATCTTAATATATTTATTTAGAAAAGTACAATAGTGTCAATGGCTAAACAAAACTAATTCAAAACTATACTTTAGCACCATGTTTCTCTGTAATTACTGAGAAAATATCAATAAATTCTCTTAGAGCAATCAAATGACTTTCGATTAACTAACAACTGTATATATAGAAATTAAATACTTAAGCAGCCTAATTAGATGTGTGACCTATGTCTCTTTGTTGATTTGACTAACAACTTTCATTGTATGTTTTGTCAGTTTCTGCTGTCTAGTACAAATCTTTTCAAGGACATTAGCACACCATAAATGCCTAGAATAACATTTCCTAAATAGATAGATACCGGTCTTATATAAATACATATGTCATCCTGGGTTTAACTAGAAACATGCATACACTTCATCTTAAAGAATATTTGAGTTGGGAATAAGCTTAACTTTTCCCCCTAACAACTCAAGTCTATTAAACATTGGACTTACAGGCAAGGTCATTAAAGTAATTTTATATTCTAATTCATCTAAAAATATAATATTTTCTGTTCATTTGAGTTAGTTCAAAATAACAACAAACACTGCACTCCTCCCAAAAAAAGACCGAAACAGCAATGCCATTTAGCACATAAATAGCTACTCGAATAAAATTTTTAGCACCTGTCTTCAAGTATTATTTCACATAGAACAAAGTCTAGGCCACTTATAGACATTCGTGGAGCATCCAGAGAAGGCCATGTATAAATTAAATGCTTGGTAACAGTAAAAAAAGATGGTGATGAGAAGTGCACAAATAAGATATTTTATGATTACACTTAAAATTAAAACCATTAGTTCTGTAAATTGAATGTTAGAATGTGTGTTGACTTTTTATAGACTTCTGAAGTGTTTTATCTATTTTACCAAAACTCTCATTTTAAAAATTTGTATATGCATATACATCATGTAAAAACTATACATAATTATTGCTAAGTTAGAAGGTGCTCTTAACAAGGTAGAAATTGTTCAATTTCTTCCAACTCGGTTCATTCCTTTTATCTTGAAAGAGTCACTCTTTCGGTTGAACACAGTTGCTTTCGATCTGTAAGGTCATTTAAATAACCTCTTTACTAACTCGGTGCATCAATACTTAGAACAACAATCTGAACACACACTGTATTATTTCAGGCAGCCAGTCAATATTTCAGTAAAGGAAGAAGCATACAGATGATGAGTAAAAAAAGTCATTTGGAAAAGGGAAATGAAATGAATTGGCAAAGAAATAGGAAATTATCCCAGTTAATTTATTTTAAAATAACTTTGGTATTATACATTTATATCTTTCTTTTCTTTCTGGACAATAAAAAGGTGGTTTTGGTCAAAATGATTTTTGTATCACTAGATCCTGAACTCTAGTTTAAAATATTCCATATAGACCTAGGGCGATAGTAACATTTTACACTCTGCATTAAATAAATCTATAAACTATGAAACTTGTGAAATAAATTCAGGAAGTTTTATCTACGATGATAATGTACCTAGAGCATTTCTAATCATCTATGAATCTATAGATCTAAAGTTAAAATAAAGAAATATACTTCAACTCTGGCAAGAATTGTATAATCATGTTTTCTAAGGACTAGTATTACAAAATAATAAAATCACTCTTCTTTTTGCTAGTCTGGTAATATGCCTGTTGTTTGTGTACGATTGAAATATATGCATCAGTAAGTAGCTCATTGCTAATCATGGTCAGAGCCTTTCTGCTGGGTGGCTGGAGTTGTAGGTGAGACTGCAGAAAATGAGGGGTAAACAAATGATAAAGGATTATAAGTACGTGAATCTCTGAAGTTTGGGATGTAACAGAAAAACAAGAGCTATGGTTGTGGGGAATCAACACAGAGTTGAGGATGTTATGAGTGCATGCATTTCATATAAGAAGGAAGAGGATCAGAGGTGGTAGCTTAAGGCATAAGATACAAGGAAGTGATTAACAGTTTAACTTCTATTAAAGTGGTAGGAGGATGGTGTCCTACAGGTGAATGGCCTCCAGGACATAGGTAATCTGCGACTGAAAAGAGAATCAGGAGAAAAAACACAACATCGAAGAATCAGAAGGAAACATAACAGAGTGGACCACAATGCAAATATATTTGTAGGTTTAATGGCAGGAAATTGGCTACTATTTTCTCTGTGAAGATGTTAAGATATTATGAGTTTTTCTGCCACTAGAGGATAATTTGTAGGGGTAGATATTTAGAGAAATTGGAAAACTATTCAAAGAACTATTGAGAAGAACATGAGAGAAGCAGAAGATTGCCCCACAAGATTGAAGGCACAACTGAGGCTGAACCCTCTGCATTTAAACTGGCAAAAATCTTTAAACTTATATAATTTACTCAAGTTGTATTCAATGACCTTAAAGGGGCATAGAAAATGCAGAATAATCCACCTTTGGAGTTTCTCGGGCCTGGAGCTTTGCCCTGTGAATTCAAAGGAAGGAAAATAGGGAATAGTGTTGAGGTTCTTGGCGAGAGAGTGGAAGAAGGGTTATGCCATTGTGCCTAAGCTGGAAAACTGAGAGTCCCTATTAAACAGAAAGTTGATCAGATAACAGCAGCCAACCTAAACCAAAACAAAACAAACAATAACAGAAAACATAGCTGTCACCAAATTACACTTCTCAATAAAGTGAAGATATAAAGATAACCGAACAAGAAAAAAACATGGAACTACAATATGGGATGTTCAAACTGGACAATTCAAAAACCTAGGACTTCTGTGTTACTGAAAAGAACCCAAGGTGCCACTGAGAATGAACATTCAGGGAGACTGGGGTGGGGGGAGGGGGGGGAGGGGTGTGTCCTTGTAACTAAGAGGCTGGGAGCTATCTGATATTTCAGTGGATTCAGAGCCAGTCAGGGTGATGGTGAGTCTGCCATAAGACAGGGAGACGTGAACTAAGTTCCACAGTTGACAAAAACAAAGGTAAGCTTACATGAAAACGATGAGAAGAAGAGATTCCTGTAGCTGAGTGGCTTTAACTCCAGTGGGGCCTGGCTTATTTATAAAAGGACAGGGGAAGCAAGATCCAGAAGCAGGATGCATCCAGAAGGATTGAGTCATCACCTTCCTGAGAGGTTGTCTGTAAACGTAAAGCCTGGCTGTTCCAACTGGCCACAGCTTTTCCTACAGTGTTAGTCAAAACAGTACGTACCCAGGGAGATTAGCACACAAGAGGATGGGTAGAAGTCTCTCCAGTAGTAATGCAAATGGGCTGCACCTGCATTTAGGCTTGCAGAGTTAGGGCTCTCATTCTTTCACAGGATATTTCTGATTTTATCTGTACCTTTTCTTCATTCTTTTTTTTTTTTTTTTGCTATAAATTGACTAATTTTTCAGTTTGCCCAAAGTTTTTGTTTAGTCATAATTTTTATTTGCATCTGATGGCATTTTTTTTAAAGTCTCTTTCTCTACAACAATAAGTACACACTTCAATTCTCACTGCTGCCTGACACATTTTCCCTGTAGTTCTTTGTTTGAACCCCTAAGAGAGACTGATAGGCCTAGTTCTTTTTTACCTTCCTAGGTAAGCCACAAAAGTCACCGGCAGTCCACACCAGCCCTAAGGACAGATCTATTCTGGTGCACTGTACACAAAGCATTGCTTTATATTGCAACAAAGCCTGAAAACAGAGCACACTGTATGCTAGAAATATTCAGATGGAAGGAAAGAAACATTTTAAAATATATTGATTTTGTACCATACAGACTGAACATTTTTTTATTGAACAAACACAAAAATAATTCTAGGAAAAAGAATGCACCAAGGCTTGCAAAAGTTTTAATGATACAGCCCTTGTTCTGAGAACAATGCAATAAATTAAGAAATTAAGAATGCATAGTATCAGGCTCCATATAGAGGTGGATGATAATTTTCTTTCTGGAAGTTATTTGCCCATCTGACTATTCTGATGGAGCATCAATCATAACCCAAGAATGACTAAACTTTGGCAGGAGAAAAAAAAAATCCATATCCCAGATCTTTTTCAGTGCAGGCCTTCTTAAAATCACTTCCATCCAGCACATATCTGAAACCTGTTGATTTTTGAGAGTTATTGTCTGAAAAATTTGCCACCCATTTACTTTTCTAAATATTCTCCTGTATACCTCTTAGTTTAAGAAAGACCGCAAAAAAGAACTCTATACCTGCACAGCATCTCGCTGTCTCCATCCAAATGTGTTTACTGAAATGCACTTTGATTGTTATGTCAATAACTCTCTATAACTTTCTTAGGGTGTTGTGAAAAAATACCCCATGATTACAGAAAACTATTTTTATAATAAGGCTGCTATTGAAAAAAAAAAAAATTCAGTTCATTGCCCAGAATCCACCTGATAAGAGTAAAAGACAGAATTTTCATTAAGGCATTTTTAAAATTTTATGTACACTGAAAATCAGGGAACAGATGTTGTGGAAAATAAGCCACATATACAGAATTTAAAATAAGATTTATTTTGGCTTAGTAAGAGCTAAATACAGAAAAAAAAAAATAAGAAAGTGAGCGTATACCACCTAAAGGAGGACATCTTCGGCTCCCTAACTTCTAAACACAGTCCTTCTTACATGGACACAACATAGGGACTTTCTGTGGCAGACACTCCTCTCTGCCACCAAGAGCCTCTCCCTGAACACAGAACTAAAGTACATCTTCTGGCTTCCTTTGCAGTCCATTGTGCTTGGGTAATGATCTCTGCAATGAGACATTTGTGAAATTGATGTGCAGCTTTTCTAGGTCAAGGTTGCTGGGAAGCAGATATGTTTCACCTCATACTCTTTTTCCTTTAGCCTGTTGGGGACAGA